ACTCATGTAATGGTACAAGATCCCAATGATGAATGTAACTGTATTTTATACCTAAAATGTACCAATAAACTTAATGGGAAAAAAGAAAAAGAAAATGTATTTGCAAAAGAAAATATTTACATGTATACTTTTCTATTTTTATCTTTCAAAACATGATACGTGAGTTGAATTTGCAAAAAAAAAAATAGAACTTACAAATTTGCTCCTTTTAGTCACGGTGCAAGTAATATGGTTAGCAGGGTAGGAAATGAGAGCATGTGGAATGTTTTTTAAGGATTACTGATAATTTCAGGTGCTAGCCATGGTCTTTTTTAAAAAAAAACAAAACTAAGTCAAAAGTCTGTATTTTAAAAGTTAAACATAATTTTTTTCAAATTCTAAGTCAGTATATGCCTATTATAAATGATCTTAAATTGTTCTGTTACAGAATTTTTTATTAGTACAAGTTTGTAATATATGTTTACATTCTTGTATAGAGTTGGTACATGTCCATAAGACATCTTAATTCCTTTTCTCGTCTCCTTTCATTCTCTTTCCTTTACTCTTGATTCCTTTCCCATGTGAGAAAGATCTATCTCCCTACTTCCTATCATCTATCTTTTATTTTGCTCTTTCTATCTGTATTTTTGGGTTTCTCATATAAGAGAAACTATGTGATTTACTTGCACTTATGTTTCTGATTTATTTCATTTAACATTGGGTCTCAAAGTGCATCTATTTTCCTACAATTGACTCAAGCTTATCTTTATGGCAGAGTAGTACACCTGTATGTAAATAACACTTTTTCTTTATCCATTCATCTGTTGAAGGACACATAGGCTGCTTCAAAGATTTAGCTATTATAAATTATGCTGGTATAAACATGGGTATAGATGTTTCACTGTTAGTATGAGGGGTTTTTTTGGTCTCTAATTTCCAATTTATTTTAAAGAACAGAAACTACACTGATAAAGTTTCAGTTTTCCTAAATTTACCAGTACATCCATGAATCGCACCAGAATTAGGACAATTTGATTATCTTAGTGATTTTGTTGTGAAACCTGCACACTGTATCCGAAGGTAAGACCAGCGGACAGACGCTCTTACAAGTTCTGTGCACAAGGACTTTCCTCTTGGGAGCCAAAGTATCGGAGAAAGCAGTTCTTCCCCCAGATTGAGTCCTCAACGAACTCTCAATAAGCAATTCTGAAGAACAGTCCTAGGTAGAGAGTTTCTTTTGTTCAGCTAAATCTGGGAGGTCTGAGTGTTTCTGGGGTCCTCATCAGGTTGTGTTGTGAGTCATGAATCCTTTGAATGTCAGAATTCACTATTAGAGGGCTCTGTAGGGTCAATCAAATTTTCATAATCACTGTCATCTGATTCCTCACCACGGTCTCCAGCTGCTCCTTGGGAAGGAAGGTCTGCTCCATTTCCGGGATACTTGAGTCCGGTACTGGTGGAAGCATAACTGGATGAGTCCATGGCTTGAGGTCGAGGCATAAAGACACTCCTTTCCATGTAAGAATGGCTCAGAGTACTTTCTTGATTGTTTGGGTGAAAAATCAGAGTAAGGGGGAGGAGGATCAGAGGGTGATGCATCTCCAAATATACTTCTACCTTCAGCTGTAAACCCAGAATAGGGCACCCAAGGACTGAATAACAGTTCCAGACTTTCAGATGGTATCTGTTTGCTTAACATAGCCTGCTGCAATCTTCTTTCTTGTTCTTTTTCATTTTTCCTGAGTTGTCTTCTTATTCACTTCTGCCTGACAAGATTTAACAACTCACTCACTCTTTTCTCCATCTGCACAAACTGCGTGTACCTTCTCCTGAAGTGCATTATAAATTGCCCTGATGTCTTTCATTACTCCATCCTTGTCAAAGAAGTCAGTACCATGTTCTTTTTTTTTTTTTTTGGTACTGGAGATTGAACTCAGGTCCTTGCGCTTGCACAGCAGGCAGTGAAACCACTGAGCTAAATCCCCGGCCCAGTACCATGTTTTTTCATAACTGGCATAACACTGAGAAGTATCTGGCACTGAAGACACTTTGTACTCTTGCTGGTTAGTATTGCCTAGATTGGGAATAGAAGGTGATATCCTTTGATTATATCTGCGATTTGGTCTAAAGAGAACGTATACTACAGCATGAGTGGAATTGTTGGCGATGGAGATGAAGCTGAAGAGAAGGAAGATGAGGTCTGGCACACCAAGGATGTAAGTGAGCTGCTTATGGATAACCTGCTCTCCGTATGACATCTGTTGTATATTTCACCGGAATCTGTACCTTCCAATAACTTTCTTTCTCCTATCTTTAAGAATTCCGTCCAGACTCTCTTCATTATCTTTATTTGCGTAGTCCTAAAAACTAAAGTTTTGAACAAGGCTGATGGTTATGGATTTCAATTACTTGCAGAAATTCTGTGTTGCTAATTTGTGAGTTACTGATGCTAAAGGTTTCCTCCTGTCTTACCTCTCCCAGCAAAAATCCTTCATGGTCCGTGTTGCTGTTGGTGCTGTGGAAACACACAGCACTGAAGGTGAAGCCCAAAATGGAAGCTGCCATGATGGAAATCTCCAACTTCCCCTTCATCTATGAGGTCTTTTCAAATGGAATTTCTAGTTTTAGTTTTTTTGAAGAATCTCCATACTGATTTCTATAGTGGCTTTACTACTTTACATTCCCACTAGCAATGTAGAAGTGTTCCTTTTTCCCATGAAGCCTCTCCAGCATTTGTAATTTGATTTCTTGATGATGGCCATTCTTTCTGGGGTAAGATGGACTCTCAGTGTTGCTTTAATTTGCATTTCTCTAATTAGCTAGGTTTTTTGTCCAAACACTCTTATTAAATTTAAAGCAAACCCTTAGGAGAAAAATATCAAACAGCAATATGTCTCCAAAATGAGAAGCACAACTTACCTCAACTTGAAAAAGCTCTCCAGCCCCCTCACAGTCATTGGATGTAATTACTGGGGTATGAATGTGCACAAACCCATTGTCCTGGAGGAAAAAGGTAAACCACTCTTTTCAGTATATTTGCACATGAAACAATTCCTAGAACTTACACTGTGTTAAACTATTAAAATGGCACTAAGAGATGTCATATCAAATCCTCACTAGGTTCCAAAATATAAGACTGCTGAAAGAGCAGTTGAGTGTTTTACTATGCACAGAAGCAGAGAATTTTAAAGTGGAACAGACTGGGACATAAACTTACTCAATCTCTTCATTTCAAAGATAAGGAAACTGAGTCCCAGAGAGATTTAGTGAAATACCAAAAGTCAAACAACTACTTAGAGCTGGGCATGGTAGTACATGCCTATGACCCAGCATTCTTGAGAAGCTGAGGCAAGATCACAAGTTCAAGCCCAACCTGGGCAATTTAGCAGCTTAGTGAGACCTTGCATCAAAATAAGAAAATCAAAAAAGGCCTGTGGATGTAGCTCAGCATGAAGACCCTAGGTTGGATGCCCAGTACTGCAAACAACAAATAAACAACCCAATAGTCAGTACTCAAGAGCAGGCTGGAACCTAGGCCTTGGGCTTTCTCTCTAAAGCTATTTCCCCTTCTCACTTCCGTAAGATATTGGTGATGATTTAACAAACACACTCAAGGCTAATGCATAATGATGTTGCCCTGATTGCTAAGGGAATGCAAAGTGATCGATATGAAATGTGGTTACCTTAGAATGAAACCTCCATTGTAATGAACCATCAGAAGGGAGAAAAAGTAAGACTAATAAATATAGACTGAAGAAAAACAGCAAAAGAGGCAGGAATGACTTTTAGGGAGTCTCTGTCATTCAATCAATGACACAATGCATTGCATGAGGTACAGGCAGTGCACTTCCTTTGCCCAAGAAATATTCTGAACAGTATCAAGTCCATCCATCACTTAGGCGCCCAACTGCAGCCCTTCCTATCAAAAGTCTGAGACTACTTCCATTAGTGAACCACAAAAGCTGTTGTTAGGATTGTAATAACCCATCTACTTCAAGGTTATACTTCTTTCATTCTGACTATACATGTGAGCAAAAGGTTACATTAGACATAAATGCAGCAGGGTGAAAGTCAAGGTAGCTGAAAGTGAATTTACATACAAAGGCAGAATAGTATGTTTGATGCAAAATTTTAGCCTGAAACCAATACAATAAATTCATAGATTCCTATCTCTGCTAAACTCTGCCTATCACAGGTAGAAAACAAAACATCTCCAGGCATTATTAAGGACCTTGCTAATATGACCCTTTCTAAATTCAAGAATTCTGGCTACAATATATTTAGTCAACAATTTGCCTTTTGATATAGACAGGTTAAATATTCAGGCTGTAAAGAGAGCCTCAGAAACTATTCAAATATGTAGTAAACCTGAGAGCCATGGGCCTAAAGGTTCTGTACAGAGCACATTGCAGGAAACCAAAGAAATATAATCAATAACATTACTGCATAAAATTTTTATCTCCTAGGAGCTCAGAATTATAGACATGAATAATTTATTCCACAGAACATAGGCAACTATGAGCATGAGTACAGTAAACAAAGAAAGGAAGTGAAAAATCCAAAAGAAATGAGGGTGGGAAGGGGAGGCAGAAAGAGAGGAGGAAAGTTTAATGGCTATATATAACTGTCCCAAGTTAGACCTACTAGAATCAGCATTGTAAATAATGTACGAGATAAATAACTATACTGTATAGGATTTTTAAAAATTCACACTAGAAGTGGAATTACTTTTAATATTTAACTAACGCTAAACCTTCTGAAAGGAGTCACCAGCTTTTTAAGCTTTGATACTGCTAGCAAGGCTTATCAAAGTTTATAATGTTACCGAAAGCTATAAAGGAGAGTGTACAAAGGAAGAACAATAAGAGTATGAAAAAAAGTGCAAAAAAAGAGAAAGTGGGAGGGGAAATAGAAAGTAAGTAGCAAGGAGAGGTGGAATACTGTCAGCATCTGACTGAAATGGGTGACCAGTTGCCAGGTTCTTAGACCATCCTACAGAAAAGGAGTTCCTAACTAGAGATACGATGGCCAGAGGAGGGACCAAGTTTAGAAGTAAACACTTCACCCAATTTTCCAGATTATATCTGTCACTTCCAAATGCCTAAATATTTTGATATACTTTCTAGAACCAGGTATTTTATGAGGCTCTGAATATCCAAAAAATAACAAAATTTATATATTAAAGACCATATGCAACACTCAGAAGACTAATGGACTATATTCTCCTTTCACATATAACCAAAAAAACTACCATTATTTAATCAGCATCAACAAAAAAGCAATGTATGAATTGTCAGACACAAGCACACCACTGGCAAAAGGTAACAAGAGGAGATAAAAAACTAAAACCTTAAATCCATAAAAGGCAGTCACAAACACTCAAAAGCACAGCAGTGTGGGGCTGTTCAATGCAAGGGTAAAGACTACTACTGCACTCCATAGCAGGCTTAGCAGGACTGCCACGAGAGACAACCCTGAAATGCACAGCAAGACCAGAAAGGACAGTGTTCCTACATTGTGCCTCAAAAGAAAACTCTTCAGTTATTTGAGAAACTTGGCTCTTCTAAATAACTCATTCTTGAGGATTCTAGAGAGCCTAGCTTTAGTATATAGCATGTATCCATTTTATGAGCAAACCCAATTGTACACAAAATATTTTTGATACTCAAACCAAAAAATAATTCTAGATTCTTAAAGTGTCCTAACTTAAAGCACTCTTCAAGTTTCTATTTATCTTATTCTGGATTTTCACTGATGAATTTCAAATTTATGAAAATTTTACATTTTAATTTTTTTTATACTGGGGATTGAACCCAGGGGTCTTCACTCTGAGCTATATCCCAACTCTTGTTGTTTTTAAAATTTTCAGATAGGATCTTGCTAAATTGCCCAGGATGGACTCAAACTGATATACTCAAACCTGTGATCTTCTCACATCAGCCTCTCCCAGGATGCTGGGATTACATTCTCAGTGCTAACATCTTTCCCTGATTTTAACAAATCCGGGAAATAGTACCAAGAAGTAGACAGCATATAACTATTATTTAATATGTCATACAGTGTCTTCTTTAAATAATTCAACCTTGGCCAGGGATTTAGCTCTGGTTTCGCTGCCTGCTGAGCAAGCACAAGGACCCGAGTTCGATGCCTGGTACTAAAAAAACAAACAAACAAAATAAATAATTCAACCTTACATACAAGTGGAAACATAGAATGAGGCACTGGTATTTTTCAGGGATTTAGAATTAAAAAGTGAATTTATGTCATTTGAAAAGTATCTACTTTTACCACTATCACTAACAGTGCTAAAATTCTTATTTTCAACTACTTAAATATTTTTTAAAGTTTATTTTACTTATTTCAGAGTTTCCTAAATTATTAGCTTACTTTTAAATTCTCTGCATATCTGTAAAAGCTTCAAGTAATAAATGTATGACGTAGATAAAGTCTACTCATCAATGGGTTGCCAATACTACCACCTGGTGGCCAAAAATCTGTAAAACTTTCAGTATTAAGACTGGCCTACATTATCAGCTACTGAAGTCTTGCGGGGGAAGAGAAATTTTTACATCTGAATGGATTTTACATATGTGTGCTTCAGGCACTACTGAAAAGACCTATAGAAATTTACTGTTAAGTTTATGACAGGATATGTAAATAAGACACTTTCAAACTATACTGGGATGACATGCATAATGTGATTTATCTTCCTTTGTTTAATCAAAAGTACATGCCTTGAAGCCATAATGTTCTTTTGCAGTTTCACCAGAAATTAACTCTGATGGAGCTTTTCAAAGAGCATGACCTCTCTTGGTAAGCTACAGCAGGACTAGGAATGCAAGAATTTGTATACACCCCAAGGGAAGGCTACACAACCTCTGCAAATGAGCTGACTCTGAAAAACACACGGAATAGCAATGAACTTTATCTGCTGGTCACACCTGGCCTTTGGTGTCCTTGCACTGACAGGAGAGGAAAGATGCCTTCAGCTCAGCAACTTGTCAAACACATTCTACTGTGGCTTTCCCAGGTTGAGAGAAATGATTGAAGAGCAAAGATAAAGAGACAAAATCACTTTAGTCATCAGAAAAACCTTAAGTAACACCAATGATTCTTTAAAATTAATGCTTACTATCCATAAAATATATATCTATAACCAAAATGGAGAAACAGGGATTGGATTTATCTTCCTTCTTGATAAAACCACAAAACCAAAACAATAAAAACAAAAGGTAAACCACATGAAATAATATTTTCAAGGCACTGGATATAAGACAATGAAAGACAGTGATCTTTGACTGGTGGGAAATGAACATGATAAGCCTTACAAGTCTCCCAGCTTACTACAACTGAGATTTTTCAGGCAACAGAACAAAGAAGAAATAAGGTGGAGCCTTGCAGACTCCCTCAGTTGAGAAGAGACAGCTGAGTCTTTGGGGAGACCAAAGTAGCTACAAAGTGTCAGAGGGAAGAGAACTGAACAGAGAGAACTCTACAGATCTACAGAGGAACACTGGTAGGTAGCGAACTCATGAGGAGATGTATGGAGGAAACTGTCCAAGACTGGGAAAAGAACTATCTAAAAAGATTAGGTGGGCAGGTGTGCTGGTGCATGTCTGTAATCCCAGCTACTCTGAAGGCAGGAAGATTGCAAATTAGAGGACATCCTAGACAACTTAGCAAGACCCTGTCTCAAAATAAAAACAAAAAAGGGCTGGGGGTGTAATTCAGTGACAGACCACTCTGTACCTCTAGGTTTGATCCTCAGTGCCATCAAAAATCAAAAACAAAAAAGAGCCAAACAGAAGAAAAAAAGATCACAGAAAACAATGTCCAGTGCTTATGCGCTGGCTGGACATTCCTGTAAGTTAGACTAGAAAACTCATGACAACATATTATGTACTGCAGAAAATTAGTAAATTTGAAGACACAGCAATACTATATACAAATTACCCAAAAGAGAGAAAAATTAATTCTTAAAAAAAAAAAAGTACATTAGCGGGCTATGGGATATCAAGTGGCTTAATACAGTATATGGATAACTTCAGTTCCCAAAGGAGGTGGCAGAAAAAATATTTGAAAAATTGCTTAAAGACTTTCATGAAAATTATAAACTCATAGATCCTTGAAATTGAACAAATCCTAAAAGAGAAAAATACAGAAAATTGCACCAAGGCACACTGAAATCAGATTGGTAAAAACTTAATGAAAGAGAAAATCCCAAAATCAGCCAAAGAGAAGAGACACAGCACATAGAGAGATGACAGCAGATTTCTCGCTGAAAGAAATGCAAATGAGGAGACAGTATAGCAGCAACTTAAAAGCATCATTCAAAAATGAAGGTGAAATAAAGACAGACAAAACAAACTTTTGGGGTCATGGGTATTCACTCTCTTACAGTTTCATGGGCAAATACATATGCCAAAATTCATCAACTGTACACTTTAAATACAGTATTTTATGTCAATTATTCCTCTGTAATGCTATTATAGACAGACACACATGCACGTGCGCACATGCACACACAAAGCATATAGATGCATGCTTGTGACATATGATCCTGTACCAAGCAAATAAAGGGTGCTTGGGAATCAACAACTAACAGAACTTTCAGGAAAACACTAGTGTTACAACAATTATTGAACTTCTTTACGAAAAAGAAAAGCTGTAAGCAGAGCACCTTACCTTAAAGAAGGAATGAATAGCAGCTGTAGCTTCACTGCGAATCCTCAATATAGATCCCAGAACATTTGTCCTACATCTAAGGTGAGGGTATTTTCTCAGGTACTCCAGAGGATGCCTCTCTTTATATTTGATAGGGAATGCCTGCCAATAAATGAAAACAAATAAAACCTGTGTTATAAAACTAGATTCCAGAGCATTTTAAATATATGTACTTTAGAACAACACTACGATGCTTTATTTTTCAATATAACAGATTATAGTCCATATTATTTGCAATAATAATTATTTTAAGTAAAACTGTAAATAGGTTGAGAGAGATGTAGATTTAAAGTCAGCTCTACTTAGTTAAATTACTATCACTGACACTTGTGTTATTTATCAAGTTTCTATACATTTGCTGTCAATCACTTCTTATAAATACAGAGCTTAGCATATAATCACAAAATTGACTGTTTGGCATACAAGAGTTTAGAATACTGTATTGTAGATATTAAAGAATATGTTTTTTACCACTGTATACACACAGCTGGTGTTCAATTTTAAAATTACTCAAATGTCTTGAAATCTCATAATCAAAAAACTGGTGCTGTTTACTACTATTTTTCAACAAGTTATTGGTGTCCAAGAGCATGAGGGATAGTCAACAACTTTCATTTAGCAGAATACTGAAGACTTAACAAAAGTATCAAGGGAGATTATGGTCCCAACTTGAAGTATTTCCATACTGTTCACACTCAAATTAAAAGATTAAACATATAGATAATATATTCTTTTCAGACAAAAACAAAAGTTCAATTTCAAAAATATAATAGGAAAGCCAAAAAGATCTAAGTTGGCAGCTTGCTTCTTTAAGTCTTATCTCCTCTTTTTAGGTCTCAGACACATATCAATTTTTATGTGACATAGAAATGAGTACCATACTTAACTAAAAGAAAAATGTGGCCAGATTAAATAGAGATCTGGGACTGCTGCGGGTCAGAATTCCCTCATGACTGAATACTTCAAAAGAGACAGAACTGAAGAGGAAGGAAAAGTAAAAGTATCAACACCGACAGAAGCTAAGGGAGAATAATTTCAGAACACTGAGACACAGTAAATGTTTAATAATCATATATCCCTCTGAAAAAGCAAAAATGAAAATAGTTACCTTCTCTATTCCACTCTTGATTTCCAAATTATTTCAGTCTATTTTCCAAAAACCTTACAACCTGATTCCTTACTTTACATGTCAATTTGAATTTCTTGGAAAATTATTTGGAATGACAATTTTAAAGAACACTGCCCCATTTTCCTTATTTCCTTACACTTACTTTTTCCTACTCTAAAAGAACTAAAATTGAATTAAAATGATTCAATTTCCCTATATTTTCTTATTTTTCACTCATCAAATATTTGAAGACAATTATAGCAAAAGACAGAGGTGTCAAACAGCAGGAATATAAATTTCAGATGTGCCACTAATCATTTCAGTACTTCAGGCACACCATTTCACCTGGCTGGGCCTCATTTTCTCCATTACTATAAATTTAAGGAGCTAGATTGATAATGGTAGCCACACACAGCTGCATCTGACCAGCTAATGCCACTCAGGACCTTGAATTCTTATTTTTTTTAAACTGATTTACTATCAAACAGCCAAAGGTGACCACTGCCTCTCTTGGATGATCAGTTCTAGTTCACACAAGTCACCACCAGCTTTTCTAAGAATGTGAAACTGAAATGGCCTATTCTGGTGTGCTTCTGTCATTTGGCTGACTGGGCATGCTTGTAACAGCATTGAGATTCAACTGCAAAAGTTACCACAGGATACATAGATTAATACTTAGCTCTCACTCATAAGACTAAGTCATTTATACAATAATTTTATTACAATCCTATAGGCTGTATGGACTATTTCAATTATCAGGGAAGCCACAACTGAAACATGTTCTAAATACCGTCTTCCCAATAATCATACTTAAAAAAGAATGCTAATATTGCAAATTAAGCCCAAAGAGCCTCCACAAAAAGATCAATAAACATACCTTGGCATCACAATTCCCAATAACTTCAATTTTTTCTGCCTTCAGTTCTACATTTTGCCTTTTGGATGGACTTTTTACCAGCTGCCCTTGGACTTCCACAGAACTTCCAAAAACCAATTCTCTACAGTAACAAAAACCCAAGATAAATAAGATATCATCATATATAACCCTCATCTAAATACAGACCTTGCTATCAGAACATTAAATTACTTAATGACAGTATTTATCTTCAATTAAGTTAGTCTTCAGATTTTACAGGTGCTGTATGTGTGAAAAAATTATAAAAATTAATTCCTTAAGTTTTAAAATATAAACAGAGTAAAGAATTTGTATATAGTTACTTGTAGAGGTTATGTAATTATTCTTATAAAAAACAAATTGTTCAATACACTTTTTACAAGATTGCAGATTATATGCAAAGACTGGTGAAATAAAAAATCAGGTCTATAGTTTTGTTGACAATATTACACCAAGGTCAATTCCCTGGCTTTGACAATATCCAATGACAACTGGGAAAGCTGGGTGAAAAGTACATGGGAATTCTCTATGTTATTTTTTAAATGTCTTTTAAGTTTTGTTATTCTTTCTTAAAGATAGTTGGCTGATGGTCTGAGTACACACAGACTACTTTCTGATTAATAGGTCTTTGTTCTAGTTCAAGTTTATCCACACATTAACTGTATGACTACTATAGAAAGTGATATAATTCATTTATTTAAATAATCATCTAGGGCCGGGGATTTAGCTCAGTGGCTCCAGTGCCAGGCTCGTAAGTGCAAGGTCCTGAGTTTGATCCCTGGTACCAAAAAAAACAAAAACAAAAAAACCATCATCTATAAAAATCTGGTCGTGGTGGCACGCACCTATAATCTCCGCATTCAGGAGGCTGAGGGAAGAGGATCATTTTGAGTTCTTGGTCAGCCTGAGTTATATAGTGAGTTCAAGGCCAGCCCAAACTATACAGGGATACCCTGTCTCAAAAACAAAAATAATCATCTACCAAGGAGTTCCAATAAATGTTCATAAATAGGTTCTAGTATATCATAATTATAAATGGTAAGTACCTTCTTTAATAAATTATATTAAAATCTCCCAATGGAGTTAACACAAACTGTATTAAAGTAAATGTGTCAGGACACTCCCCACCTAGATCTGCTTGTTTCATTTAATACATTTAAAATTCATTTAATCCATTTAAAATCTATTTTTACATAATATATAAAAATTAAGATTGTCTACTATTGCATCATAGGACCAAAAAAAAAAACCTCATACACTTTCACCCAACCTGAGAGGATATTTTGAGATGCTCTAACTTAAAATATGCACTACCTGACACAAACGAATATTTCCCTGGGGAAAAGCCTGGGGGATCTTGAGAAGAAGGCAGTCATTCTCCCAAACCTCTAAAACAGAGGTAGTGAATCTATGGCATGCCTGCTGCAGTTGGCTATTTATCATTGAAAGCTCTAAAATGTTTGCCATCACTGTTCTAAAATTTAGGTACCACTACATATTCATGTGATTGCAATACTGATAGATAGTATCAGAAAAAAATACAAACTTCTATAAAAGACTACTCATATCAGATAATTTTTTGTTGTTGTGCCCAGTTGGCCAAATAAGTCTGACCCATGAACCTATTCAATATGTGGACAACATTAATCCTAACAATCCTTGGGAGTAGTGCAGCACTCTTACTGACCATCTGTATTTCTTTTCTTTTTTTGGTACCAGAGATCGAACTCGAGACCTTGTGTGTGCGAGGCAGGCAGTGGAACCACTGAGCTAAATCTCTGGCCTCCTGCAGCACTCTTACTTTAACAAATTAGAATACTGTTCTGCTCCTAAGACCTTATACCCTACCTTAAATATGGTGCTCGTCTAAGATGATGCATGAGAACATAAAAAGTTTCTTTCATTTATTCAACAAACAGTAATTGGTTACTTTGTCAGCACTGTGCCAGAGGCCAAAAACACAAACAGGCAAAAGACACCAAATTCTAACCTCAAGGAATGAAAAGTCCTTAGTTAAAGGAGTGAAATAAGAACAGAGTCGACTGCTGTGCAATGCAATACTTTCTATGACAGAGGTGGGCACAGGGTGCTATAAGAGTATTGAGGGGCAACTGACATAGTCAAGGGGCAAGAACATCAGGTGAAAGACAGATGAAGAAGTGAGAGGCTGAGAGACAGCAATATATACAATAGCTAGACAACAGTAAAGAGAACAGCTTAATGTAGCTGTAAGCAGTTTAGACAGACAGAACCAAAGCACAGGTAGAGGTCACTGGCATGTGCAGATATTAAAAAAGGAATGAAAAGCTTGACAACGAAAGACCATGATTCCAAGTATTTGGAGTTATCTTCAAAATCATTTTGCATAGACTTGTTTAGAAAGATCAACCAGAGGGCATATTAGTCAGCTTTCTCATTGCTGAGACACAATACCTAATAACCTATAACTTAAAGGAGACCAGTTTAATTTGGTTCACAGTTTCAGGAAATTCAATCCATGCCTGGCTGACTCCAAGGCAGAAACACATGGCAAAAGGGCACTGCAGAGCAAAGATACTTAATTCATGTAAGCCAGGAAGCAGTGGAGGGGAAAAGCACAGAAAGGGGTGGGGGACAAGATGTAGTACCCAAGTTCACACCTCCATGACCCATCCAAACAGTCAGAAGTGTGCTCCACTAACTCCTTGGGAAGCTCCCAAGCCAGTCAAGTCAACACAATCAAGCTTAACCATCTTGCCCCTTGTTAACCTGACATCCAAACACATTTCCCTAAACCATTATTGACTGATTTACTGATTTTTTGAGACAGGGTCTCGCTATGTATTTCAGGCTGGCCTTGAACTCACTATGTAGCCCAGGCTGGCCTCAAACTCACGAAGATCTTCCTGCTTCAGCTCCTTGAGCGCTAGGATTACAGGCCTGTGCCACCAAATCCAGCCCTAAACCATACTTAATCCCCAAATAAATACAAAGTCATAATTCTGCCTAATGTAATACAACAATCTTGCATACAACCAAAACCAATAATCCCTTCCCCAGTTTCAACAGTTTCAGTATTTTTCAAAATTCCAAGTCTCTTCTGAAATTCAAGGCAAACTCTTAACTGTGAACATCTGTATAAATAAAAAACAAAGTGTCTGATCCCAAGGTACAATAGCACAAGATAATATCCCAATTCCAAAAAGGAGGAGTAAGGGGGCAGAAAAGAATTGGACCAATATGAGGTCAAAACCTAGCAGGGCATACATTAAGTTCTGTAGCTCCATATATAGCATACAGGGCACACGGTGGTAAAATGTGAATACCAAAGGTCTTAGGTGAACCCACCCCTATGGGATTGCTGGCTGCAACCCACAAAGCCTCTCTCTTGGGTTAGCTCCACTCAGGCTTACAGCTTGCCTTAGCAGTCATTCCATATTCCTGGCATCTCCAACTTCCTAGGGTCTCCACTGCACCCAGCTTCACTCAGTTTCATGCACTGCCCTCTCAGGGGCTCCTTGGCTTGTCTAACAGGCACTCCTTTGAAATCAGGGTGGAAGTCTCTCTGATTCCACAACTCTTGCATTTTGCATGCTGGTAAAACTACCCTCATGTGGATGACACCAAGGTCTGCTGTCAACTGGGAGCAGTAGCCAGGGCCCCTTGGACCATGGATGCAGCAGCTTATGAGTATCTGGATAGCTGAGCACAATGAAATGAATCCTGGGGAACCAATTCCCTATATGGCCTTTCTCAAGCAGGTGTTCCAGGGATTCTCTTCTCAAATGAAAAATTGCTATTTTTGTACACTTGAGCCCACAAAGGGCAGGAGCTTGCTGATTCCAGAGATGCTCTCAAGGCATTTTTCTTCTTCTTTTTTTTTTTGGTGCCGGGGATTGAACTTGGGTCCTTGAACTTGCAAGGCAGGTGGTGGAACCACTGAGCTAAATCCCCAGCCCCCATTTTTCTTCTTATCCCTGTACACAGCACTTGATTTCTTTTTAATGACACTAATCTCTTCAGCAACCACACCTCCTTTGGCCCCAACTGTACATGTGGTTCCTTTGGGGCCAAAAGTTAAGTTTCCCCAATTTTTCTGCTCTGCTTTTTGCCTCCAATTCTTACTCTAAATCTGGCTAAAAGCAGCCAGCAGTACTTATGCCACAGCTTTAATTTTGGGCTGCCTTTGAATTTCCTCTGCCAGATCAATTAGTCCACCACCTTTAATCTCAGTTTCCTGTAGTCTCAGGACATGGCAAAATAGAGACAAATTTTCTGCTAGAGTGTAACACACACAGCGCCTCTAGACCAACTGCCAACAGAATTCTTATTCCCAATTAAAACTTCCTAAGCCTGGCCTTTACTGTCCACATTCCTATCAGCACTCTGATCCGAGCTCCAACCAGAATCACCTATGAGGCTCTGCTTATAGGATTCCAAAGTTTCTCCACTGGCATCTTCAAACCTTTCCAAACTCCTCCCACAAACCAGTTCCAAAGGTACCTAAACAACATAATCTGGAATAGACACAGAAACAATCCCACTTCTCTGATACCAATCCTCTATTTTGGTCAGTTTTCTCACTGTGTGACACAATGCCTGACACACACAACTTAAAGGAAGAGAGCTTAATTTGTTTCATGGTTTCAGAACACCAGTTCAGAGTCAGTCAGCTGGCTCCAAGGCAGGAATGTCATGGTGGAAGGGCATGGCAGAGCAAAGATGCTCAGTTCATTATACCCAGGAAGCAGAGCTGGTGAACAGCAAAGAAGGAGCAAGGGAAAAGATATAGTACCCAGTATCATTCCTCTATGACTCACCCAGACACAGCCAGAAATGTGTTCCACCAATTCTCTGGGTAGCTCCAAGCCAACCAAAATGACACAATCAAGCTTAATCATCACAGGGGAGCAATGTGAACACTGGATTAGGGATGTGAGGAACACTGGAGATGGGGGGGGGGGATCAAAGAACTCAAAATTAAAAAAAAAAAAAACCTCACAAAAAACTTACTTGCTGTCAAAGCTTGAATCTGTAACAACTTGAAGGCTTTCCAAAGATGACCCATCATTTACATGTAGGAACAAGACTTCCTTCTGGGACCGGACTGAACGGATCCATCCCTAAAGAAGAGAAACACTTTTAAACACAAGCTTAAATATGTACACACTTTACATTTTCATTACACAAAGATGAAAGAAGAAAAAACATACTCACAATCTTGCCTCAATATATCAACTGCACAAAATGAACTTTTAGTTTACCTACATGCATACATAATTTTTATGGTACTTATCACAGTGAGATACATACTTTGACATCCTACCTTTGGTTCTCTTAATGAATTTCATCATTCTGAATGGATGCCAAATCAAGTTGATGAGCCCAGTTCATATAACCAACTCCCTCAATACTAACTTTTCCAAAGTATCCCCTCTCATCATTACAAATAACAAGGATTACATCTTGGTGCCTTTTTGTGTCTATCAAATTCCCATACCAAAAAAGCTCTCAAAAAAATTCACAATATGAACACACATTAAGTAACAAACTTTCAAAGATAGTCTTAAATTTAAATGACAGGTACATGCCAGTACAAATGACAGGTCTTCAGGCAGACCAGTAACACTAAAACCAGCTCTCTCAGATACACTCAAATATAATATAGTAGTTAAGAGAGAATAATGTTCTTCTAGCAGACACCAAACGACAGTAAAGTATCCCATAAATGTAAAGTAAATGAATACAGATAGACATTCACCATTAAACACGTAGGGAAAAGCAAGAAATGATTCCACATAGAAAAACCATCAGTTACTATTTTCTATTTCTGGCTATAATCTTCAGATGCTGTTATTATTGCTCTTCTATCACTTATTTACCTGTTCATAATGTCTTAAGGGAAAAAAACACGCTTGTTTTAAAGTACATTGCCAGGTACATACATGAAAATCCAGATGCTTTCTGGTGAAAGATATTTACCATTTAGCAAATATGCACAATACAAGAAATATCTTACTACCATCACATGCTATCTCATTTTCTTCTTACAATGGCTCCAAGGATTATCACATCCATTTACAAATTAGAAAATTGAGGTTCAGAGAAAATAAATAACTTGTTCAGACCACTGCTGGTAAAGTCAAGTATATTTGACTAGAAAGTCCTTGATCTTTTGCCAGGACTACATGATGAAATGTAAATTCACATAGCCTCATGTACAAGGCACTTCATCTTACATTTTCCCACAGGCACCTGCTTTTTGGTCATGCTCAATTAATAGTAATTTATGAAGTACAACTCTCTTATTTTTACTTAGTAAAAGTAAACATTTTAATGTGTTTCTGTTCTAAGTTCTTTATAAATATGCTACTTAACCCTCACAAGAACAAAATGAAGTGGTTATTATTTTTGTTTTGTTTTTTTGTTTTTGGTACCGGGGATGGAACTCGGGTCCTTGCACTTGTGCAGCAGGCGTCTTATTTTTGAAATAAGGAAACATCTAGAGAAGTTAAGAAAACAATCCAGGCCATAATCACCACGTAGTACAATTGGGATTCAAATACATGTAGTTATTCCTTCAAAGTTCATGTTCTTATCAACATACTTTTCTGGAAAGTTATTTTCATCCCATGTTCAGTTTCTCTGTCTGGGGGGCTCGCCCTGAAGTTATTTCCAGTCCATCCCCAGTTATTCTACCTGGGGAATACATCCTTCAGGACTCAGCTGAAATGTCATCCCATTTCACACTGCTGACCTCCTATGGAATTCCTTTTCTGTTTTCTCATAGCCCTTTATACCACTAATAACAATAACACTGTTATAGGCAAGGGCTGTCCAACAGAAATATAATGCAAACTACATAAGTAATTTTGAAATTTTTAGGGGTCACATTGAAAATTACAAGTAATAGTTGAAATATTTTATTTAACCCATTATGTCCAAAATACTGCCGCATGTAATCACTATAAAAATATATTGATACTGTATTTTGTATTCTTCTTTGTGCTTCAAATTATTATATACTTTACATTTACAGCACATATGAATTCAGGCTAGTCACATCTCAAGTGTTGAGAGCTATAAATGGCTGGTAGGTGGTACCATTTTATACCACAAAGGAACAAACTGAAAGCCTCTGACCTAGGTAGTAGGTTCTGTTATCTTTGAATCTCCTTCTAACACACAAAAGGTATCATTTATGTAATGTCAAATTAATAGAAAAGATTTTGATTTGGATCATAGAAAGAATATGAAATGCAAATAAATGCAAAGAGAAGATTGGTCATAATGCTAAACAAGGATGTATGAGGACACCAAAACAACTGCATCAGTGTTTTGGCAATCTGCTAAATCAAACATCTTGCTTAACTTGCTCCTATGGGATTAACTCTCCTATGTGGAGTGGCTGCAAACACTACCAGCAAGAGAAATGGCAGCTAACACTCATTTACTGTGGGCCACTATTCTAAATATACTTATCATCTCATTTAATTTTCTTCTCTATGAAGTAGGGACTATTGTTATCTCTATATTCATAAAAGACAACTGAGGTTTAGAGTACTTAAGTGACATGCCCATAATTAACAAGCTACTTAGTGGGAGAGATTTAAACCTGGGCAGCTCTTTCAAACTGCTCTATTTCACTCTTTCTTCTAATTTATGGAACATAAATTACAGGTGAGCCCCATTTTAGGGACCGAGGTTGCTAAAGGCTGAATAAAAGGCACTGCTTAGCGGAACAGTACCGTATTTTACTGTTAGCCACGCAAATATGAAATCAGGTAAGACAGTTTCTGCTCTTAAGAAGTTAGGGCAAGATCGTATAACCGTTGATATTCATTATGACAGATAAAGGTTAAAAAAAATGGCTTGTTTACTGACACTTTTCTGTCCGATTAAAAGTTTGCGGGTGCTGCCGTGGGATCATGAAAACCAAGTTGCTGCATTTTATAGCGATCAGAATGGTTTCGCAAAAAAGTAACAGTACCCGAGGAAAGGCAGAAGTGTGAACTGCAACGATGCCTACATTTTCTAATTCTTCCCTGCTGTTTGTCCTGTCCGACCTGAAAGCACAAAGTAAAACTAGATGTGCACCTGCCATATACGTCCCTGAAAGAAAAGAAAACAAAAAAACCAACCCATGCTCTTGCCATTCACCCACCTGGACCTTAACGCGCTCCCCACTCGTGTTCTGGGACCTGAGAGCGTCCCGCACGCTCAGTTTGGATGAAGGTTTGTGCCTCGGGCAGGGCACAGACGAGCAGAAGCGCAGGGCTCGGAAAAGGCACCGGGCCCCGAGCATCGCCCCCCACCCCAGGCCTCCGCAGGCCCAGTTCTGGTCCAAGAGGGTTCGAACCCTGTCTACAAGGGCCCGCTCTGCTCGGCCGCAGCCTACTCTAAGGCGTTCTAAGGCTCCCAAGTCTGTCTCCTACAGAACTGCTTGTTTCCCTGTCCCCAACAGGACAGAATGGAGACGACACACTCTGCAAACGCCAAGGACAACACCACGCGACCGACCGGAGCGCGCGACACACTTCAACAAGATAATTAAACCTGGGCAGCAAAAAGGTCTCTCAGAGGCCCTACGTTACCACGCCAACGTCGCTTACATCATCACGCAACGAGGAGCCTGAGACAGAGCATGCGCCCTTGTATTCCGGTCTAAGGAGGCGGGCCAGAGGCGGGGCGAAGGAAGGGGTGGGGCTGGTGGGGTCGGTCGGGCAGGTTTGTAGGGCTTTTGTCCGGAAGGAGCTAGGGAGCACACTTGGAATTAGTCTTTGTTTCTAAAGCTTCCGGACACTGAGGAGCACCGAGACGCGAGCACCGAGACGCGAGCACGGATTGATGCAGAGGGAAAGCGTCCAGGAGGAGGTTTTTAGTTCTTGAGAGGAATGGCCTGAGGACGTCAGTTGTTCTGAGCACAGAGGAAAATAGGACCTACTCCCTGCTCAAGTCAGTTTTGTGGTATCAGGCATCTGACAGATAGTTGAATAAGAGTGATCAGTTGCCTGACTGAGCCTAAGCTAGGATACCAGAGAAGGCTTTCTGGAGATGGTACCCTGACAGCTGAGAAACTGAAGAGACCTTGACTATGGGAGAGAACTCGTGGTGGGATGAAGCTACTGGAGAGAGACTGGAAGGAATGCCAAGAGTTGTCTGCCAAAATCTTTCTCTTTTTTTCCCAATAGTCATCTGCATTTGTTTGATCTAAAAACAGTGACCCTCTTATTCGGCAACATTTTAAATTTATATTAAAAAAATTTTCCCTAAGTGAAACTAATGAAAGTGTTTAACTAGTTAAATAAAATATAGATACGAGGACTAGTTACTTGAAGTTGCCACTGTTACGCCCATATCACAGATGAGTGAAGGCACAGAAAGGGTAATAACCCGCTAAGCTGTACAAGTGCTATAAACTGTCATGGTATAGTGTCTCAGGTGGAAACTTCCATTAAGGAGGCCATGGTCTAGTGATGGAGACTGGCAAGAAAAGCAATCATTGCCATGCAAAGCAATAAGAGCACACACAGATTGTATGCAACAAGTGGAGTGGCAGTCAAGAGAAGCAGATAATTAAACTGCTGTTTGTTTTGTTTTGTTTTTTAAGGAGGATCAGAATTTTGTCAGATGAGGATGTAAAAGAATTTCCTGCCAAGAAGGTGGGCAGACAAAGTTGCCAGGAGGACAAATGATCCAAAAGGAGATGAGAAAATAATGGATAAAAAAAATGGAAACTGGCAGCCTTCAGAATTATGTAGCTATAGACTAAACTGAAATAGTGGAGCATGCCTGCAATCCTGGCCCACAGAGAGGCTGAAGCAGAAGGATTGCAAGTTGGGGCTCAGCCTGGACAATTTAACAAGACGTTGTCTTAAAATAAAAATTTTAAAAGTGGTCTGGGAATGTAGCTCAGTGTGAAGGCCTTCGGTTCAATTCCCAGCAGTATGCCTTTGGTAAATTGGCTGCAGAATAAGACATGTTCCCCACAGTGATGTGCGTCTCATTGCAAACCTTTTCTTTGACCATGCCTGCCCTGTTCAAGGGATTAAAAGTAGCAATCAATTAGGTTATTTCTCCTCAACCATTTTTCTGTCTTGCCTTCTCTAATGGTTTAGATCTAAAATACCCCCCCCCCCCGCCAAAGGCCATGTGCTAAGGACTTGATTGCCAAGCTGATAGGCTTTGGTTAAGGGATTGGACCATGAGGATTCTAACTTCACCAATGGATGAATTCATAGCTCAATGGGTGTATTAGAAGATGGAGCCTAATTGGATGAAGCAGGTCACTGGGAGCATGGCTTTAAAGAGTATATTTTGTCTCTTGCCTCTTCTTCCTTTTGTTCTCCCTCTCTCTCTCCCCCCACTTCCTGGCTGTTCTGAGGTGAACAGCTTCATCCTCCACACGTTTGTTTTTGGTACTGGGGATCGAACTCAGGACCTTCCGCTTTCAAGGCAGATGGCACCTCCACACACTTTTGTTGCCATGATGTTCTGCCTCATCTCAGGCCCAAATTAATGGAGCCAGTGAACCATGGACTGAAACCTCTAAAACTATGAGCCAAAATAAACCTTTCTTCCTTTATTTTCTCAAATGTTTTGCCACAGTGACCAAAAGCTCACAGACCTTCTTTCTCCCTCTTCTCCACTACTTCACTGGATGATGTGCTTTTGAAGAACTGGGGTCTGAGTCTCAGAGAGGGGGGATCCTGACCTCCTCTGCCCAACATGTTTAAGTTAAAAGATTTTTCTAAGCAGAGGCCCACTGCTCAGTATTATGATAAAAAAGAAACAAATGTGTGAAACTGAAAATTAGTAATGGTTAATTTAAAATGTATATTGAAAGTTGCCTATAGTATGCATCCTGATACTGAGTTCAAACCACCCGTGGATCTTGTACTATATTAAATTTTATCTTCTTATTTAGTTTTGTTTTCAATTTTAGAATCATTCTTCCCCTTTTAGATTCATTACCTTCCAGATAGTACAGAGAGTGCTATTTCTAAAGTGAGTATGTTACCACATCAGCAATAATGATGGTTAGAGTGTTATAGGATGCTTACTATGTGCCAGGAACCCTTCATGTATTAACTCATTTAATCATCACAATATCCTTGTGAAGTAGGGTAGTAGCATCATTCCCAGTGTTAGGAGGAACTGAAGCTAGAGAGCTTTCATAACTTGTGCTAAGTTACACTGGCAGTCTGGTTCCAGAGTCCATAGCAGTATTCATTTTTAAAGCAAGCCTTTAATTTCTCTTTGTAGCACAGAGACTTGCTTTCTATAGCATGTCTACTAGGCTCTCTCTGATCCAGGGAGCTCTGTAAAGTGCCCTGGAGTAAAGAACAGAAGTGAATGAGGACTAGAACTGTTGCCTTTTGATGTGCCAGGTCTGTGCAGTACACAGTCTCAGCATTACTCATCAGCTCCGGGAAGGTTATAACCAGGTTCTACATGACAGGTTTAACCTACCTTACTCCAGAAGTTTCTTGTCATTTTCTCTCTTAAGTAAATATTTACTTTTTGTTTATTTTATTTATTTATTTTTTTGTTTTTGGTACCGGGGTTCGAACTTGGGACCTTGCTTTTACGAGGCAGGCAGCAGCACCACTGAGCTAAATCACCAGCCAATATTTACTTTTATGTTTGTAATTGTGTATTCCTTTCTGTGTGTGTGTGTGTGTGTGTGTGTGTGTGTGTGTGTGTGTGTATTACTGGGGATCAAATCTTAGGCCTCAGGCACGCAAAAAAGTGCTCTACCACTGAGCTATCTCCTCAGCTCTGTGTTTTTCTTGTAGAGGATCTCCCAAATTAAGAAATCTCAAGTCCCATGGAGCTGGATTTGCCTTTGATCACAAGAATGCTGCAGCAAATATATTAAAAACATTTGAAAGAATTTCTCTGGATGATAAACCTAGGATATTTGCGTCTTTAGCCTTATTAGATACTGCCAAGTTGCTCTCTGAACTGAGGGTTCCAAGAGGCTTATAAAAGTTTCCAAACTGCCACACCTTCAGTGACAATTGATATAGCCAGATTTCCTAATTTTTGCCAAAGATAGGTAAGAGAAAATATCTCAGTGTTTCAGAGATTTATGTTTTTATTTTTTTTTCCTTCATTTCTCATCAAAATTCCATTCCAAGGACAACTCATCATTTTTGATAGCATAGTAGAACACAACATTAGCCTGGCAATCAGAAGTCTTGGTTCAAATATTATCTGTATTACCCACTGTGGAACATTTGGAAAGTCACTTAAACTCTAGACTGCCCCCCGCTCCCTTCCTGAGAGTAAGAACTACAGCATTTCATGAATTTTGTCCTAAGGAAATGTATGTTTTATCTGATTAAGCACCTTCCTTTATTCATAAATGTTATTTTAGAGTTAGAGAGTCTTCTAAACTTAGCCAGTTCTGTTAGATCCCAAAGTAGAAAGATCAAGAATAATTCCATATATTTTGTGTGTATTTCTTTTATGTACAGTCCTTCAGCATGTTTAAGAATCACCTGACAAGCTATTAAAACACAGATTTCTGGGTCTCTGGCCCAGTGATTCCAACTAACTAGGAGAAACACTGTTTCCTCTGTGACTAGATTGTCCTTTCCCTGGTTTCCAGAGGCCCTCACTTTTGAGGCTTGAACTTCTTTTCTTATGCCATGTTTTCTTCTTCCTCCTCCTCCTCATCTTTATTTTAAACTTCTAATGTACTTTCAGAGAAATTGTAACAAAACAACCTACTGCCTAAGTCACCTTTCAGATTTTGTGGCAAGTGGGTGGAGTAGGACCTCTAAGCGCTATAGGAACCTTTCCCATAGCTGGCTCTGCAGACCCTACACCATCCAACCACAGCCTCCCGAAGTAGGGCATTTTAGTTACCTCAACCTTCTTAGATAGAAGGGTTAAAATGAGAGTGGAGATAAACCCAAGTTTGCTTAAGCCAATGGTTTCCAACCGTGCCTTTTGTACAGTAGGCTTACACACTGCAGTAGTAAATTCATAATTATGATTCACCTAATTGATTTAGTGAGTTTGACCATCAGAATAATAAGGAATAAAAAAATCCACTTGTATCTCAGGTAATAGCAGTAACTGCTGTTTGGTGAAAGTTATAGTGGCCAAGATATAAAATATATTTCCTCTACAGATCAGCCAGAAAAAGTTTGAAAAACAGTAGGCCCTACCATGTTGGCTTAGTACCATGTTGCCCTAGTAAACAGAATTAGGTTCCTGCCTAAGTCTCCTAGTGAGTCCCCAAAGAAGGATTGTGTTGTTTAGAGTATAGCTGCTTTGTGGTATTTTTCTATGAAGCTAATTTTCAATGTTTTCTTTGAAAAATATAAACAAGCTATATTAGTAGTATGATAAAAGTAACACATAAACATAAAAAATTTTTAGGCAGCAACAAATGGTATATAGTAGAAAGTAGAAGTTGCTTCACCACTTTCCATGTATGATGCTCAGTGAGAGCTACTAGTTATCTTTACATAAAGTTTTTAACCATATAACATACACATATGCATATATACATATGCAACTAAATATGATCTATTTGTTTTATATCTTCTTTTTGCTTATAGTATTTAAAAAATCTTTCATACAACTGAAT